GACCTAGAATTTTAATAATACATTTGAAGCAGGGTGCTGCATTGCGGATAGAATCCTCTTCAAACGAACACCTCATCTTATCTACATTTGTTTGTTCAGTTCAATGGTACCAGGGGGGAGGGTGGAAGTGGTAGAGGGGGCTACGCAAGCATTTGATGCTTGTCCGCAATAAAAATTAATTACTAACTTGCAGTAGTTAGCGGAAATCATTCCATTTTTCATTTTTCTCATGTGATTTAGAGCGCTTTAACTTTGTATGACCTGCAAGCGAAAAGTGTAAAAACAAATATCACATCAGAAGTTATCCACTCCTCAGCCCGTTCCTTTTTTGTCAACCCACGGAATAACATATTACTAACATGATAACGAAAGGGCGCATTTTAGCCTTGGAATCGTCTTTCAAGCCTGAAAACAGTCATGAAACATAGCAAGAGAGGGGATGGTTGGGTGGAACATTAAGGCATCATAAAAAACGGCAAAGCAGGACTGATAGAATAGAGAAGGGAATTTTCGGGTTCGGGAATACAAGTCGAAAAATGAGAGGTATGTGGCATCCCCAGAAGATGGGTTGAACGATGATGATATGAACTTTGCTAGAGAATTGTAAGAAGGGAAATTGAAGCTATAATATAAGATTGGTCTTGAGCTGTGAGTCGGAAATAACGCAAAAAAGCTAAACGAAGTAACAGGCAAAGAAAAACGCAAAAAGATAAGGGGGAAAGGAAACGAACATCAATTAACGCTTAAGTTTCCCACACGCCAAACATATAACCCGACCTGTCCATATCCATCCCTTCTAAAATAACGCAGCCGTGAAAATAAATAAAGGGGAATCCATTCGTAAACACAAGTCATTTCCTATCTCCTAGAGATAATAGTTCGATAAACATGATTTTACCTTCGCGGCAGTGTTCCAACCATTCTCCCCCCACTGCCAGCCATTAAGCTCTGTTGAACGATTAAATCAGCAGCAGCCGCCGTCGCCAACCTCTCTTTCTGTCGACTGCGATCACGGATATACGGGTACGCCTCCGGTCGCATGCGCAGGATGCGAAGGATCATATCATCGTTCGGTTCCGCTTGTGCCTCTCGCCATTTTTCCTCCTTGGCTTTCCTCATAGTGCCCAGGTTACGGGACAGCATAATACTTTTGCCCCGGCGAGCAGAGGGGATACCAGCCGCACCACCAATGGCAGAGTATGGGCTGAGCGATGAAGATGTGGCGGAGAGTCGGTTTCGGTTGGTCTGCTGACGCGCTGCGGTCGCGGAGGCCATGCGTTCTGACGTTCGAATTAAATTATCGGTTGGTTCAAAGTAGAAGAAGAAGAGGCTTTGGATTTCGTGGTATTTCGGTGATTTGAGGATATCTAAGGGTACGCCGTTTGCTTCGCCGGTTTCTTCGTCGACGGCGTTGAAGAAGTTGAGGAGCAAGAGGAGCCAACGGGATACGACGTCGACTTCTTGCTGAGTGAGCGGTCGTTGATTGGAAGGTTTGTCAGAAAGTGGAGGAACTAAAAGAGCTTCCACAGTAACCAGTACTTCTTTCCATAACCGAGCCATGACCTTTCTCATGGCTTCTTCTGTCAGTGTTTGGTTCATTATGGAAAAGTTGTCGTCGAAATATGTGAACAGTGTGTCTAACGCGCCCTCGATTTCCGCCTGAGTCGGACCTGAAGCGGTCGCTGCTTTGTTCCGATTAAAATAGCTGGAAACAGTGGACATAGTGATTCCTTTCGACAGCAACGCTTTGAGAGCACGACGAGAGAGACAATGGTTGATATAAGCGGAAAGCTGAAAACACGCGTCAGCAAGTGATATCCAACCGGGAATACGAGTGTGACATTAAATTGAACATACCTTTTCCGTTGTTTTCCGGGTCATCTCTCGTTCTGTACGTTTCAGAGTACGAAAGGCCTTGCCAAAATAAAACTGGATATCATCGCGTTCGCCTTCCATACTCACACGAAGCAAGATTCGGCCTTGCGTGTCCAAGTCTAGCCAGTATTCCCTTGGGACAAAGTCTGAAAAGTGAGCAGGATCAAGCTTGAGAGAAGTGCGTCCCATATAATCGTGGCTCCCCACAGCGTCCCAGTCCCAGACTGTTGCAATGATGTTCTGCGGTCCCTTTGTAACGATGTCTACCGTATCGTCCCACCGGGGGTTAAGATTGTCATAGACAATACGAGTCTTGAAGATACGCTGGGACTCATCGGCCAAGGAAACGTAAGGATCACTAAGTCCATCCATGTCACATCCCTTCAGGTCTTCTGCCTCGACGATTTTGACTGTGAAAACATAGTTGGTGATCTTCCTTGGCCGTTGTAAAGTAGGGGGCGTATGTTTTGCAAGCACATCCGCGCAAGCATCAACATTTATGTCCTTTTCAAGCTTATCCAACTGATGGAGGGCATATTCGATATTATTCAGCTTTACAAAGGACTGAAAAAGAAAAAGGTTAGCAATATTCACAGCTATTTTTTTTTTTTTTTTTTTTCGCAAAGCTTACCTGGGGGAAGAACTGAAACGGTTCAATTTTTTCTTTATTATTCCACGCCTCCTTGGCCATCTGCATCCACTTCTCTTGTCGTGATTGCGACAAGGATGCTTCTTGTTCAGGGGTAAGGCGATCCATTTCCCTACTAAATTGTTGTTCAAGAACTTCGCAGTATCTCGCAATGCCTCTTCCGATTGATTTCGAAATGGCCGTCATGAACTTAGCATATCCCACATCGTCATCCCAATTCAGCTGCACAATTTGATTAATCACTTCATTAAAAGACCGGAAAACATCTACGACGGATAAGCTGCGTCGTTGCTCTTGTGTCGGTATGTCAGTCGGTGATTCAGTGCGGACTTTGAAGTCATCTTGTTTGATAGCTTGATTGACCCAATCCACGATCTTCTCATCAGTAGCTTGTATCCAGCGCCAAACGAAGTTGGACAGAAGTTCCTCGATTGGGATGGGAAAAGGTTCACTGTAATGCCGTTAGCTAAAGAACGAGGAAACGTTAAATATGATTGAGCTACTTACCCAGGGAGTGTTGTTGTATAAAATTGGCGGATTTGTGCCAATTCTTTGTACAAATCAAAGCCATCCTGGACGCCAATCTCCTCGTTTTTATCTTGGGCTTGCTGTATAATCCTAGTTATGATATCGCGTGCGTCCTCTGCGAACATAGGAAGAACGCATTTGGACAGGATAGTTGCGGGATTGACGCTGGAAAAGTCAGTCTGAGGGCGAGAGATCAAGAATTTGCAAGTACGTACCCCATGATTTCCGGGTTCTTCTTATATCTCTTCTGTATTCGTTGGCAAAGCTTCAAAATTCCTTTCCCAAGTTGAATTACATGATAAAACTCCCACACATCCTGTTCTGGGGGTATTTCCTTGTTGAGATGTTCTTGATATACTTCTTTTGCCTTGTCAACTAGTCCATCATATACATAAGAACGAAAATTCTCAACGTCGTCTGGTTTAGATATAAAATTGGGGTCAGCTTCGACATAGTTTTCAAGGATGTACATCACTGAACCTATAGGGGGAACTTTGGTGTCAAAGCAGTGCATCATCGTCTCATAGAGATGTCGAAGGAGCGCTTCGTGGAGAGAGGCAAGCAGGTGTGTCATTACACCAAAATCAGCCAGCGTCCAATTCTCCCTATTTGAGAGCAAGGAGACGATTAGACTACTGCTACGTTTCGATTTCTCCGACGGTGGTTGGTTCACAAGAATGAATGCCGAATCCAATGTGTCAAGGTCAATCTCCTGCTCCACATATTTCTCCCGGAAAACATCAAGGAGCAATACAGCACGACTGGATGTTGGTATTCGCCAGCGAAGGCCTATTTCGTTGAGTAGATCCGTAGCTTGTTTTGAAAGGAGAGCCGTAGCTGGTGAGTCTGATGTCGCGTCTGATGCGTTGGTCTGTCTTTCCTGTAGCTCGTGGTTTACCACTTGAAGGAGTATAAAACGGTAAAACGACCTAGGATCCGGGGGAATGAAGGTGTAAATATTAGAGTTATCAGCGTAATCATGAGACGCATCGGGCTGTGACAAAGAAGCAGCATCTATTGAAGAAATGTCCGAGGTGTCGGAATAACCAATATCTATTGCATGGGGGTCGCTAGATCTGGTATTGAGATGAGGAAGTGTGCTACCAGGCAGACTTGTTTTGGTATCGGGGTTTGACTGCATTATAGAGAACATCATCCGGGAGAGTTCGCCAGCCTCGGCTTTCTTCCACGCTTCAAAAGCTTCGGTTGAGTCGAAGTCTTCATTAGACAGAGTCTTCCTGGTATTCAGGTTGAGTTGCACCTGGTATGTTTTAAGGTCTTGTAGGGCCGCCGTCGCTGTCCACACATCTTTATACTTGTTTATATCTGACTGCACATACGAATTCCTGAGTCCAAACACTTTCGCCACAAATTGGACTAATGGCATGTCTTCGACCTTGTAAGTCAGGGGCACGAGTTCGGTAATTACGTTTCCATCCTTTGGGGATGCCTCCGCAAGGTTCTGATCATGTGCAAGCAATTTGGTTTCCAGAGTGGAAAGTTGGCTAGCCAGCTCAGGCCTATCCTTATCCCAACCCTGGTCTTTGAGGACCAAACTGATGATCCTCACGAATAGAGCCACATGCCTATCAACCATAAGCTTCCAGCTGATATCATCTTGTGCCTGACCTTTGGAGAGCTCTTTTGTAGCATGGGTAACGAAGATTAAAACCAGGGGTTCTGCCCGTCTGTCCTCTCTCATATTCTTGTTAAAACCTGGCTCCCTCAACTGATTTAGAAATGCCGCAAAAGTCCTCCTGACAGCCTCATCCTGGTAAGCTTTCTCTTTTTCGATCCCTTTAAACACTCCCGTTACTCGATTTTCGAGCCGGCCGATAAACCCATGAGGTAGCCTCGTGCTCTTGTTATCTTTGACGAAGTTTAGATCGGCTATTATGGAAGCTGATGATTTGTGAGCTCGCTGGCGGGGAACTGGAACGCTCTGGGTGCGACGTGCCCTTGGTTGGAGAAGGTAGGCGAGATATGCAGCTCGAAGGGCATATATGTAGGCGTCATTGTGGCTGACAGGCCTCTTTCGAGAAATGGAAACATTCCGAGAACGGCGACCTAGGCCTGGACCACTGTCGCTATCTAATCGTCGACCAAAGCCGCGAGAACGGGAGGATGCAGTCGACATGAGACCTAAGCACGTGTTTCCCTTTTCTCTATCCAAACGAGGGTAGCTGAGCGACGGGAGAGAAGAGATATAGTCATGGAGTCCTGCACGAGGAGCCAAGTCTGCAGAAGTGGAATAAAAACGTCCTTCTTATCTGCGTTCAATGCGGGCGTTCGAGGTTTCACAGGCTTGCGGCGCTGGGAAATGCGTAGTCATGCAGTACAACGTTAGGTCGATGGCTAATAGAAGAAGAGTCTCAGCAAACGGTAAGGAGACAAGTAGTGTTTTAAGTAATTAAGGATGATGTGTGCAGGTTGGATAGGAGGCTGGACCTGAAAGCCAAAGAGCTGGAAATATACGTTGCTTATCTATTTAAGGTTACAGTGGCAGTGGTGATGCTGACGAAAGGTTGACAGTTCCGAGACAGTCGTTGGTCTGGCGACTTGGCAGCAGCCCCGAGTGACTGTAGAAAGGCGCAGGGTCTTATTGCGATCTTCGAGTATGCAGAATTCCCTGGCTATACCAGGAGATGTTAAGCTGGCAAATACCGACGTCTGATTGCATTGATTCTAAGTGTTGTGAGGTTTGATGGTGGGGAAGGTTTTGCGGGACGTGGTTTCAGGATCAGTCGCATCCACCAACTTTAATTACATTACATCGTAAGTGCTACTATTTAATATTCACTAACTAAATAGCTAAATAAACGGTACGGGAGCCAAGCTGCTTCAAGATATCGTCTGCGTGCTTGGCCTCCACTCCGACGCTTCATCGCCCGAGACCTGTCACAATTGAGAATTTTACGGCGGCCATGCGTTTTGATTGTCAGATTTAGGAACGCCCTGCACTTGAACGATCACGAATACTGGCCCTGGGCCAAGTTTTTATGGCTCAAGCACTGTCTTCACAGCCCGCTAGCTGTGAAACTGTTCTTTGAAGGGAATGGACATTATCTGATTGCACATGGCACGGCACGTTTCTTGCTTTTGCGGCTTGTTGACCAAAACCAGTCAGCGATTTAGATTGGTACATGTACATGTATCCAGTACCAAGTCCTGTCGATAACTTCGCCCTGGTGCTGAATACTGAGGATAACTAGATGTTTGGCGCTCGAAACTCAACTCTTCATCTGTTGCCCATCTGGGTCTACTGTGGCTACAATACAAGAAAAGTATGGCACTCTGGCGTGCATGGAAACCATGTTCTCTTTTCCCAATTCCGCAGATCTGGATCCCAATTGTGTTCGCTGAGGACAGGAAGATTTGCTCCATGTTATTCAGAGGTCTTCTGGCAAATAGTTCAGTGATTCCACTTTTCCTCCGGCTGCAACAGTTGTCAGACGGCCCTTGTGTACATAATACGGTTGTACCTAACATATAGGACAAAAACGACTAGACTAAAACGTAGAGTATACGAGGTTAAATAGCTTGGAGGCCCAGAGTTAACTTGCAAACTCATCTTCCTCATTGTTTGTATCACATAATCATTGTTATAATAATTTGATGCCAATTGGGAAAAGATAGTGAAGTTGACAAGTGCCATAGATGTCCACCACACAATGGCAACACGTGTGTTAGAAAAGTATAGCTGTGGGAAAAATGGGTCGAAGGTTGATGAGATGTGCAGGTCATACATGCTGCACAGTACATATTGTGCGCAGTCACTTTTTCTTTTTGGTGGCAGAAGCTGTCGTGCCTCAGATGGGTACCGAGTCAAATGGGACTTGAGGTTCAGAGATTCATCTTATGCCTCAATTTAAGGCAAGTACAGCAAGCATCAAAGGAGAAAAGACTGTTTGGTCGACGTCGTGGCACAAATACTCTTATTTACATATAAATCAAATACAATGCCTCCAAGCAAGATCACCATTTGTCTTCTCCTGGTGCACGAGCCTTCAGAAAGTCAGCCTTCTAGAACCTTAACTCGCTGAGGGAATGTTCAAAACCTACCCGAACAGTGTTTGGTCCTCCAAGCTCCTTTTCCAGTCCACCTGGGAATGTGCGTGGCACGCTAGGTTTATCGGGGTAGTACAGGCTGACAATCCCGCTGAGGATGAGGACGAAACTTCCAGCACATCCCAACAGGAAGAAGCCTTTGGCGGGCTTGAAGTGCGTATATTTTTCCGTGGAAAGTATAGTTAAGATATCATTATCTTCATGAACAGGTTCTCCGAAGTTTCTCCGGTCCTGCTTATCCCACCAATCGCCGTATGGGTCGCGGAATTGGCGTTTCTGGCCGGGGGGGTTGTAGTAGTTGTTATTCTGAAAAGGTACGGTACTGTGATCAGCTCATGTAAAGGAGGTAGGATAATATCGGCAACCCACCATCTCTGGGTCTTCGACCGTAGGCTGTGAAGCAAATCGAATCTGGGAAACCGATGCATGTGGGCGGGCGAACCGGCAAACTACCCTTGTCGGCAGTTTTGCTGCCGTCATAAATTGCCTCGACAACATCTAACAGTTCGGGGAAGTTAGCTGTAGGGTCAATGGCATTTTTGATTAGGTATTACGCACTGTAGAGGCTCGCACGACGGCTCGTCAGACAGGATTGAGATTAAACAACGCGCTTGGATCCTGCAACGCGGGCCACAGAATGCAATGGTGTATATCGACGACATATCCGAACGTTCCAAGGAAATAATGAGATGTCCGGAAGCGGTTTGGCTCAATGTTGCGGGGGATCATGTGATTCTTATGTCAGCGAAATTAGCAGGAAATTGCCTCCCTAGTCTGCGAAAAACCACTTCACACGCAATCCATCAGCGCAACGCATTTCTTTGTCACCAGCAACGCAAATTTGCCGATAACGATGCCAAAATTTATATGCCAATTTTATGACAGACGAGCTATCGATTGATGGTACATCCATACATTTGGAACGCGTTTTCGTTGGGATCGTTGGGGTCTGCTGCGTCCTTGCGCCCCTGTCCTTAAGCTAACAAGAAATGCAAAACGGCAGCCTTCGAGGCACGTCCCAACACCACCACGACAGCGCAACATCCGAGCCTGAAGCCGAACTTGATGGCTCGCCTCCTCCGAAAGCTCCTCCCGATTCCGCTGTAGGAGATTCCGTTCCTAATAACCCTAGGCATGAAGATGAGGAGCCCGACACCCTCCCGGGACCCCCGTCCAAAAAGCGGAAACTTGCAGACTCCTCTGGCCGAAGTACGCCGCGTCCAATATCTCCTCCGTGGAAGCGCGTGGCGGTTGATGGGCCCACCTCCTTCATCGAAGGCGGCAGGCGAAAGTCGTCTAGGACAAACGTCGTACCACTCGATTTGCTGCCTCAGTCGGATAAGAGACATACCCGTTCTGCACACCAGGACTACGTGAACCGATCGAAGCCAACTCGCGTTTCGCGACATGGGAATTCTCCGTTGGTCGCGATGGCATCCCAATCTGAAACGAATGGGAGGCGTTTGTCTACAGGAAAGGTCACTACTAATGGTACTGAAACTACTTCTCCCAGGAAAGATTCTCTACGAAGCCCGAGTACCAGAGTCCTACTCGCGAAACAACAAAATACCCAAACTTCCGTTTCTAAAAACGGGTCGTCGAGAAACAGAGCTCCTAGTCTAGCTACGTCTGGTTCCCATAACAAGTCCACTACTCTTACGAACGGGAGGAGTACCCCCAGGTCTCACCGAAGCCATGTTACCTCTGCGGAGACGTCTCCTGTGGCTGCAAAACATGCGACTACAAGTGGAAGAAGTCGGAGGACCGAGGTTTCAGAGCGACAGGAGGCCGGAGGGAATTCGGGTCCGATGTTACCAAGACTGCGGTTTAAAGTCAAAATGCCGTCTCTAGCTACCCAGCATCCATCCCATGTTCTACCGGATAGGAAATACTCGTCATTTCGTGAATGGATAGAAAATGAAGCTGCAACAGACGATGAAGTGGGATTCTCCACTCCTGAGGCTGCGCTTGCAGAGGCTCGCATGCGATCGAGGGTTTGGGAAGCGGGGCAGCCTGGCCAACTACTAAGTAAAGAACGCTGCTCTCGTTATATGACTGATCCGGCGGAAGAACCTCCCGCCCAATACTCCCACCAAGATTACCTTATCGCCCATGCCTTGTATTTTAAGAAATTGCTCGATAAGGAACGCAAGCAGCATCGACACCTAGCAAAACTATTTGCTCAATGGTGTGCCGAAGTGTGGAGGAAGCGAAATAAACACCCAGAGGATATATTAAGGGAACAGCAGGAAGAAATGCGTCAGAAACGTAAACAACTTGTTAAGGATTTGCAGCGTCAGTTTGATGCGGTTCGTGCAGAGGTGGAGAAAGCTCGTTTGGCCCGATGGGAGGAACAGAGAAAGGCAGAGGATCAACTTGCGTTAAACAAGGCTATCAAACAATCCACTTTGTTGTTTGAAATGAGGAGACCGGATAGACCGGACGATTCTCAAATCGAGGAGAGCCAGTCTGAGGTTCAAACGGGCTCGGAGTCAGATGAATCTAGCACCGACGAAACAGAGGATGAAAGTAATATGTCGACGGCATCTGAGAGTGAAGGGGATGACGATGGCGAAATTAACGATGACGAAGGCTTGACGGCAGAAGAACTTCGTATTAAGTATGCGCATCTTACTTCGAGTAACATTGGAGTTGATGTTAAATCAAGCCGTTCGCCGCGAGACCCATTGATATCCGCCCGTGATGCCTCTCCTGACATGGAATCAAACACCAAAATGGAAGATCCATTTTCAACATCTGCAAGTGATACAGGACAAGGCGTAGCAAACTTAGATGAAGTTGATTCGGTGCTGCTAGATGATAGCGACGAAGAGTCGACGGACATGGAAGATGACATGGGTGATAATGACGAAAATCGTTCATTCTCCGATGAAAGTGGCGACGATGAGGCCAGTAGCAGTGATGAAGAGGGCCCTGGTTTATTGGGGTTTTTTACCACAAAAATAGACAAAGTTGAGCAAGGAAGTAATTCCCACAAGCAAGATCCTGTTGAAACAGACGGGGAAGAGAAGGGTGATGAAGACGAGGTCATCCTTGTCCCAAATGGGACAAACGAGCCAGATGGACAAGAATATCAACCGAGAGCGCACGAGTCGACAGAACACGAGCCACTAAGTCAAAAATTGACCGTACACGAACCTACTCGAACTGATGATAATGGTATCAGCGAGCATGACAAATCTCAAGCTTCTATCAATGTTCGCCCAATTAGAGATGCTAGCAGCGAGCCTTCGCCGGTAACGATTACAACAAAGCCGTCGGAAGCTGAATCGGTTTCTTCATATGAACCAAACCAGAACGATTATAATGAGAGTCAAGCTGATAGTTCGCCTACGAAATCATCTCTTCCAATAAAAACACCCATCCCGCACCTTCTACGTGGGACACTACGTGAGTATCAACACTTTGGTTTGGATTGGCTTGCGGGTTTGTATACTAGCAATATCAACGGCATTCTTGCGGATGAAATGGGTCTCGGGAAAACTATCCAAACGATAGCGCTACTGGCACATTTGGCGGTCGAGCACGAGGTATGGGGACCGCACCTCGTGGTCGTTCCGACAAGCGTAATGCTCAACTGGGAAATGGAGTTCAAAAAGTGGTGTCCTGGATTCAAAATCCTCACATATTATGGTTCGCAAGAAGAGCGAAGACAGAAGCGTAAAGGTTGGATGGATGACGACCGCTGGCATGTTTGTATTACTTCGTACCAACTTGTGCTTCAAGATCAACAAACCTTCAAACGGCGGAACTGGCATTACATGGTTCTAGACGAAGCGCATAATATCAAAAATTTCCGATCTCAACGATGGCAAACGCTCCTCACTTTTAAAACCAAAGCAAGGCTTCTGTTAACTGGCACACCGCTCCAAAATAACTTGACCGAACTATGGTCTCTGCTCTTCTTCCTCATGCCCTCTGATGGCAGTGACACTGGTGTCGAAGGGTTTGCCGACCTTCGAAATTTCTCTGAATGGTTTCGACGACCAGTGGAACAAATTCTCGAACACGGAAGGGAAACCATGGATGATGAAGCCAAAAAAGTGGTTACGAAATTGCACACTGTTCTGCGCCCTTACATTTTACGCCGTCTTAAAGTGGATGTTGAGAAACAAATGCCTGCAAAGTTTGAACATGTCGTACCGTGCAGGCTATCAAAGCGCCAACGATACTTATATGATGGATTCATGTCGCGAGCCCAAACCAAAGAAACATTAGCATCGGGAAATTATCTTTCCATCATAAACTGTTTAATGCAGTTGCGGAAGGTCTGCAATCACCCCGATCTTTTCGAGACGCGACCGATAATGACCTCATTCTCGATGCCAAGATCTGCGATAGCCGATTTTGAAATCAAGGAGTTATTTGTTCGACGCCGCCTGTTAAGAGAGGATCCATTGAGCAAATTAGACTTAGACTTCTTAAATTTGGTACCCATATCAAGAGAAAATGCGTCAAGGAGACTTGTGGACGACACATCACGAATCATGGCCTTTGTTCCTCTCAGAGCACTACGCGAGCGCCAATATAATCGCACTAACTGGCGCATGGAATTCGATGGGTCCTCTGTGAAGTCTGTGCTGACATCAATGGAGAATTCATCTCGAAAAATGAGGATGCAGGAGCTGGAGCGGTGCTTGTACTTCGAGTCGAAGCGCCACGGGCAACGGCCACTATATGGGAAAAGCCTTATCGACTTCCTCAACGTCAATATTAGCATCCAGTCAAAATCCCAACGTTTACCGCCACGTCGCTCGCTTATTGATTGGTTTTCGCGTCAATCCCCCGTCCTCGCTTCGATGATTTTGTCCCTCAATGAAAGGTCACTAGCGATGGAAAACATTATACAGAAGTTTGCTTTTGTCACACCGGCAGCGGTTGCGTCGGACATTACTACTGCGGCCCTGACACCTATCGAGTCCCGATACTTCAGCAAGGCGCAAAGGGTTCCGAACTATGATCCGTTCCATGAGGCACAGATGCGGCTATCAATCGCGTTCCCAGATAAACGGCTCTTGCAGTATGATTGCGGAAAACTTCAGCAGCTTGACAAACTTCTTAGGAAACTACAATCAGGCGGTCATCGTGCGTTAATATTTACCCAGATGACCAAAATGCTTGATATCCTGGAACAATTTCTCAATATACATGGTCACCGATATCTTCGCCTTGATGGTGCTACCAAAGTGGAGCAGCGACAGATGCTGACCGAGCGTTTCAACAATGATACCCGAATTTTAGCCTTCATCCTCTCTAGCCGGTCAGGGGGCTTAGGAATCAATTTGACAGGAGCTGATACAGTCATATTCTACGATTTGGATTGGAACCCTGCAATGGATAAGCAATGTCAAGACAGATGTCATCGCATTGGTCAGACTCGTGATGTTCATATCTATCGATTTGTTTCTGAGTATACAATTGAATCCAACATTCTACGCAAGGCCAATCAAAAACGGATGCTTGACGATGTGATCATCCAGGAAGGCGAATTCACAACTGATTACTTCCAAAAGTTGGATGTGCGGGGCATGTTAACCGACGCTGTTGTGGATGGGCATGACGAAGCGAGTGCAGCCATGGACCGAGTTCTTGATACCAAAGTTGTCGGAACCCCTCGAGCCTTCGAACAGGCAGAAGATAAAGAAGATATCGATGCTGCAAAGAATGCGGAGAAAGAATTGGAGCATGCAGATGATGGCGATTTCGAGGAGGGTAGCGCACCACACACTCCAGGCCAGCCCGGACCCAGCCAAGTCGGGACACCCATGGCAACGGAAGGCGAAGAGTACGAACCATCTGTTACTCATGCAGGAAATGCCAATACTCCTGCACGCCTTGGATCGCCAGCAGCTCAGGTTGCACAAGACAAAGCCGAGGCAGAACCTGAATCCGGTCACATTGATGACTATCTGCTACGTTTTATGGAATGGAATCTGAAGGACGAACCCTTGGTTCTTCCCCCAGACAAGAGAAAAAGGAAGTCGAGAAGGGGACAAGAACATCGAATCAAAAGACATAGGTGATAGGTTCCACAGGCTGTTTACATTTTGGTTTGTTGATCTTTTAAAGGTCCTTACCCCGGATCCGGGTATTTGGAGATGGCGAATGGCGTTTAGTATTTTAATTTGTTTGGGGGTCTAGGGGTTGTGGAGAAAAAGAAAAAAAAAAGTAGGGCTCTTGGTCATAGATAATATTTTTTCCCGTTTTTTCCCCTCCGTTGTATTCTTATTATCTGTTATACTTCTGCATAATTCCGCAACCAACGAAATATTTTACGCTCGTGTACCTCTGTACACTATATATATCTAGTTGCTCCCCACACAAGTTTCTATCAACACTGCCGAAGTATGGTGAATTATGAAATTGGGCCTCCCTGTTGTAAGGTCGAAACTTTATTTCTCGCGCTTCGATGCCAATTTATCAGTAACTAGCAAAAACTTCATGGGCCCTGATATCTGCATTTTTCTACTCTGTACGGAGTACATTATCTTCCAGTTTGGGGTAACAGCCCCTCCCCAATTGGAACCCGTGGGGAGTCGGCACCCACTGGCTGGAGCACAACACGTGACAACCGTAACTAACTCAGCTACACTCATCCCAGCCGCCTCCATCCCCTCACCACGGCTCTCGCGTCTCCAGCATCCCACGAATTCCCAAGTCCAAGGCCCAAGCTGTTGGTAGCACAAGATTTCCTCACATCGATCGTGGTTTGCCGAGGGCAACGATTGGCCTTTCTAGATCTCCATGCTGGCCGTGAGGCCTGTATGTGCCTAGCACACCTGACTTCCACACAGATGTGATACGTCGAATTACTCTCCCGGTTTCTTCTGTAAGAGCTTGAAGCCGCAGCGAATCATGAATAATACACACAACACACAGACTTCCACTTCAACGAATCAACCAAACATTATGCCATTCAGACCTCTCATAATAATACCAGGGATGGAAACTGGCTGCCAAATCACGCGAGGCTTGACAGATTTTCCACCAGACCCCTAGACTGAATTGTAATGTTAGTACCGTGGTCAAAAGATATATTATTCCTACTAACTCAACTAAGAAGTTGTTGGAATTCGGAGTCTTGCCCAAACCGGTGGTAAACTGTGAACTGTGATGTCTATCTTTACGGCTATTTCATTCAATTCAGCCAGCCCATGGTGTATCAGCCCTTGTCTGAGTTAGCTGAACATTCTCTAGCTCTTCCCCCCTGCCCAAAAAGAACAGGTTGTGAGATGATATGAGGCGAGGGAGATGCGAGGGGAAGCGATGCCAACCACAATGAGATCGACCTTCGGGACACAGGAGTCAAAGTGTTAGCGGGAAAATACACGTTCGAATGTACGCGGCGTAAAAAATACTGCGGAACAGCACGCTAAAACAAAATACCGAAGACCTAACGGTGGCTGACGCCCAGGCCAATATCTGCATGGTGTGACTTTAGGGGGAAGCGACTTGCATGAGTTTTCTGTTATTCGTGACAAACTTACTCCGTACATACCTATTCAGAAAAGCGCAATTAGAAATCCTATGGATTTTCACTGGCCGAAGAAGGTTATCTCCAAAAAAAGTACTCTGTACCATACAGGCACATTCCAGATCCAAATACTTGTGGTTCCATTTTTTGCTGGATGGCTAGCTGTTTGATCGACGGTCGGTATTCTATCACCGGGATGCAGTCAGTCTCCTGACAACAGCATTCTTGCCAATGACTTATCACACCCCAAGCCGGGGGTATTTACTAAATTACCAGCAGGAAACTATCTCTTGTTATATTCTTTTCATCGGTTTATGCCGTTGATTCCTGAAACCCGAGCGATCGGTTCCAAAAATTGTCCTTACAAAAGAACAAGCTGGGGTTTGGGGGCATGGCTGGGCAGTGGGTTCGCCATAGCTCCGGCCTAATCCTCGGCAGACTGGGTAAAACCGCCCGGCCGGGCCCCCGGGCGCCGTCTGATTGGATTGCAGTCCATCTTCTTTGTTGTCATTTCTCCACTCAGGTTCACTGGTTGCCGTTGTTCGAAGGGAACGGAAACCTGATTACCAACAGTGCGTAATTGGGTAATCTGCGGGACTGAGAGCATGACAAGTGGTGACAAGATGCTAGCTGTATTGTTGCTTTGGCCAGGTCGTTACGACGGAAGTTCCAGCAGTTCCCTTCGAATGGCTAGCTAGCCTAAGCTAGACCTACCTTGTCGGTCTCCCTGAACAGAATCGCCAAGACGTCCTCTCCTGGTGTTTTATTTTTCAAGACCTTCTGTCATAATGGTGCGCTGTGTTGCGGCAACCATGACGATGATACAGTGCCGTCGTTTTTTCATTACCTCATACTCTGGGTATTCTACTCTGTAGGGTCCTGCAGAATTCAAGGAGGTCCACTTTCAGTTGATGGACCTGTCTCCTCTGCATTCCCCTGTCCACTTACCGCTAGCCTGGTTCGATAAACTTTTGTGGCTGATCAAGGGTTGTTCGTCTCTCAGCAGAGTGCCACTCACTCCTCCCTAGTCAATTATTGACGCATTGGCGAGAGACGGCCGCCTCGAAACCAGCGGCTCTGTGCACAACAGCTTGAATGGTTTTGGCATGCTCCGCTCTTCCGCCCTTCTTCCACTCTTTCCTTTTTAGATCTCCAGTCCTCGCACTCGTCTCCTCTGCTTCCTTCACTCTCATCTTTTGCTTTCGTTTCGCCAAACTCGATAATAAGACCATGGAGTCGGTACCTTCCTACGTTTGATGGCTTGCTGCAAAACATTGGATCCTCCTCACCGAACCCCCTACTTGTTCTCAAACTGTCCTACTATCTCTCCATCCCCTTTCATAGAAACATCAGCCAACATGAAGAATTCAATACCATCCGAAGTTTGGGAAGGCAAACGTGCTGAAATTGCAGTTCTTTACAAAGAAGAAGAATGGCCTCTGAAACAAGTCATTAAGAAAATTAGAAGCGAAGATTTTAACCCGACGTAAGAATTTCCTCTCGTTCCCCCCGAACCTGCTCTGTGCACTGACTTAAGCCGCCCCAGTGAAACCCAACTCCGCAGTAGATTGAAGAAATGGGGAGTTACCAAACCATCGCGCCAAAAGAGGAAGAAGCAGAGCGACGGATTGACCACATGCGCTACCGCCAAGCACCCAAATCGGTTAGAATTGACCACGGTGAACGAACCATCGTCAACTCAAGCGGCATCTTTCCCCAGCAGGGTCGGATGGGATGATCCGAAAGGATGGATAGTGCCATCAGGATATAGCCAACACCACTTGCTGAAAGAATCACCATTGCTCGAAGGACAATCAGGTTCAGCGGATTGGACCTCGTCTAATAGTATCTCCAATAACATCCATCCACCATTCTTGCTACATCATTTCCCAACCCCATCGCCGTTATCTTCCGTCCATTCCTATGGGCATCCGAACCCTACCATAAGCTCTATAGCAGATAGCGCCATAAATCAACCCATGGAATGCCACTCAAGATTTACGGGTTCTGGGACCAATATTTCCGTGAGCGATTCGTTCGTGAAGCCGTATCCTGGAGAGTGGTCATTACAGACAAGTCCTGTCAATACAGAAAACAATCCGATGACTCCATGGAGCTATATTACACCTGATGTATCCCAATCATGCCCATCCCATCTCTTTGCCTTAGGTGATGGAAGCGCCGCAGTTCCAGACTATACGGAATATAATGAACCAACACCCAGTGAGGATTATGCTCAACAATATGGGGGTTCTCCAGCACTGTCACCTAATTCTGAGCTAGAGTTGCTGCAGTCGAATCCTGAAATCAAGGCTTGGAGACGTGCTGCTTCCACACATGTTCACCCGAACGGGATCGAGACAACCAATCCAAGGGTCGGTCGTGATCCTCTAAGACGACGTCGGCCAGAAGTGAAACGTAAAAGGATTCTGCATCGGCAAAACAACGCCTGACCACCAGCCAATCGCAGTTTGAAGTTTTGAACCAATCTGCTATGCATCTAAATACTTCCCTCCCGATTCCAGAAGCAATTCTAGCAGCCGAAACGCGCTACCTTCGGGAACTGATATAAACCAAGAATATTCTTCGCCGAACCCGTAGTTGAAATCTAATCTCGAGTTCGGCGAATTGAGTCAATCCGGTTTCATCGAAGGCAATTTTATCTATAATTTTGCCTCGGATGAAACGGGATCACCTGTCCTTAAAACTATTTCGTTGCAACATACTTTTCCTGCTTTTCAATGAGCATTCAGGTACATGATTTGCGATTTCATCAAACACATTTTGTCTATTTCGAGTCCTTGGAAAAGTCATGGCGGATTGGTACTTATATGGGATATTCAACTATTATGGAACATTTGCGACTCGCTTTCACGGTCGCCTCTCTTTTAATTTCTTGTGCAGAGTAAGACAGTTTACATTTTTGTGATCCGCTCTTTTTTTCTTTCATTTTTATTCTCATTTTCACTTGTTACATAGGGTTCTGGATGGGATAATTTGGAATGGCTGGGACTTTGGGCTATTATGGCATTTGGATATGACAATCGTTCTCTATATATACATAATATATCTATATATATGTTGCCGTCAGTATTTAATGTATCCCTACTTACCTTGTTCTTTGAATTCTGTTCAGGCTGTTGCTCCTCGAGCTGGATAACATACTTGCATCCGTATTCTCTAAGAGCAATTATCGCTCACATCATGTCTAAGGTAGTACAACAGGGAGCCTTACCGACTTTTTGTGAGCCATTGGCGCTATCAATTTCCCCACTTACTAGATACAGATGATGAACTAGAAGCCTCTAATTTTCCTTCTCCCTCAAACGTGTTATTCAAAACTTACATGCTCTGCCGACATCAGTACCCCTTTGCTGCTTTACTGCCTTGGTATGCTATCTAGATTGATCTGATCTTCCTGAGGGGCTATGCAGCTACCGTGCTACCGTCACATCCACGGTTCGCCACAACACCCCGACCTGTTGACTGGGTGATTCGCAGCTCATCAAGCAAAGCCGCTCGCCATTATATGCGATCATTCAAGCTAGCGGCCCCCTCTATCAACCACGAAGAGGGTATCTACGCCTAGTATCTTGTCTGCAACCAGTATGGTACTGTACATAAGAGTACATGAACTGCACACGCAACCTGCACGCAGTACATGCCTAGGCTCGCCATATGCGCAATCGTCCGGTGCGAAAGGAGAAAGCCATGTCATTTCTCCGCATGCAAAATAACGCATGTGTATTCGTACATACATGATCTCCACAAGTCGGTCCAGATCGGGTTTCATGCCTGAAGCTTTCTTATTGTTTCGTTCTCGACTCTGTACGGAGTACACGGGCCCGATATCCCTTTTCCCGCCCGCGATTCGAAATCTTCCACTTGGTTTCCTCCCTCGCGCCGCCCGTGAAGAACCCATTGATTTAAAAGATACCCTGTTCTGCGGAGCCGAATCAGAACTTCGGACAAAATATGTACAGAGTACCGTACAGTACATATGTCAGATTCAATGGAATCGCGTAATTAATCCTAAAATAGCCCCCCTCCGTGTGCAGTACATTCAAAGCTCACTAGACTGACAAGTGGACTAACCAGTTAAACGGTGCGCAACGCAGGTTCAGAGGAGAGCTGAGAAAGTACGAAAAGTAGCTTCGGGCTGACGACAGTGTTCCTTCTTTTGCCTTTTACCATTGACACCAAGTGGAGAAGAACAGAGACCGTTTCGCTGGCGTCGTGGAGCTGTTGCGGGATCGAACTTGGCAACACCCGCCAGATCCACTTATGAAATGTATGAGCATTGAGGACTCAATGAGTAGCAGGCAGTCAGTCCACTCCTCGTTAGTTAACTACCTAGGTAGTTAGTTACCGAGTCACTAGTGATCTGCTAGTTTGTTGTGCTTAGTGCTCACGAGTCTTGCCGATCGACTGATCTGTTTACCATCAGGTTCCACTTCAACTCGTCACGATTGCACCAACCACCGATTCGGAACTAAGCAGATCCTCTGCTCGGCACGGTCAGAATGCCAACAGCTCCAGGGTCTATCACGGTTTTTCAAAACGCTTGCCTCGCTAATGCAACAATATTCAACAACCATGATGTATTTTCAGCTGATAGGGTACATATAATCTTCGGACGAAGTTGAAGGTCTTTGCTTGTTCAGTTAGAGTTCGTTGGGTACATCGAAAGTCATCAGCCATGTACGTGTGCAGTACTCCGTACACGGTATCGCCCAACATACCGAAAGCTACCTGCGAAAACGGCAAGTTATGAATCGGATGTGCTAAATGCAGTGGATATGGAACTTCAAGTTCCGCACCATCTGCGTTTAGCGCCCTGTTCAAAGCTGGTAAATGTCAAAATGCTCCTATTCTCATTAAGGCTCACTCCGCGCGAACGGACGCAATGGTGCCACGACCGTCCTGTCCCGCCATGATGAGGAATGTCTGAATATGGATCCCGTCAGGAGGCAGTTTGTGGCTTGAGATGACGTTGAATTCTCTAGAAAGATTCTCTAAAGAGCTAGACGCGCTAAAATCGCTGCAGATTATTAATTACTCGTGCCAAAAACCTCATGCGCCGCTTAAGAGCTAGTTTTGTACAGTCCAATGTACTCCGTATATTCTATTGAGATATAAAAATACAATTTGTTGTCAAAATAATTCATAGAAGAGTGTAAGTAGCATAAAATAAAAGAAAAATATTGGCAATTGGAGGGTGTGTGATGTATTTGACGAGGTTTATTTTTAACTCAATTGGAAACTGGACGACAGAAAAGCTCCCCTCAACCAATCGATATCTCCGTACTCCGTAGAAACGATTTTGTCCATGACAAGAACGCACATACCAAGATCATTGGAGTGATAGATCTTCCGACCCCCCGCCCCCCCCCCCCGGCGACAGGGATTTTCTTCCCCTGGCCTGTTGATGAATAGATGGCGCAGCGACACGGGCCATTGGGCTGAGATTAATCGAGATCTACATTGCAGAAACGCCCCAATAAAAAGGAAACATAGAAAGGAGGGATGGATGATCTGGATTGGGAACATGTTCTCGCTGGCGCTTTTCTTCAGAGAGGGCGACAAGGGCATTGATCTGAGATGGCTGGCTAGCCGCTGGCATCACCGGAGCTCTAGCTCCATAGCCGTCTGCCCCGAAATACTCCTGAGGGATTGTGATGGTCGAGCGGGAATTAGTGGCAAACCTTTTACGTACCGCCGCCTATCGCTGCGGGCGGGAAATGTCAAGAAAGCCCTGGATCTAGCCACGTCAATCCTTGTCGTGGTGGGCATGTTGAATGCGCGAAGCTTACGGTTGACAGGAGCATCTACGCATAGATATCTGGAATGCTTACAGTTGTCACGAGAATCTATCCTGATGCATTGGCTCGTATTTAAGTATCCGATCTCATCAGGGGTCCCCTAGTTTAAACTCGGAGCAGGCCTTCATGCTCCAGTTTAGTCCATACGAAGTTGGGTTTAACATGATTCTCAATGCATTTCCTATGTGCAAGAGAAAACTTAAAAAAATTTCTGATACCAAGGGACGGACTGTACTCCGTACAACATCACCATAGCGTGCCCACCGTTTACTCAGCTGCATAAGAGCACTGGCTCCCGATTCCATGTACTGTACATACATGTACCTCAGGCAGATGATTTTCCGTGCCGAGTTCCTCCTATAGGCTCCCATAGGCGGGTCATGATCTCCACTCTAGCCAAACATCATCTGCAGTGGCTCTGGAGGAAGTCTCTTGGTTGGCTTGAGACATGTGCACATGCAGCGTGCACCCAGCTCCCCATGGATTCGTGGAAGGAGGGTACAGCCAGCCACTGTCAAATGCTGAGGGGAGCTCCGATATCGTCAAATCCGCTAGTTCAGTACCGTACCACCCTTGTGCAATCAATCGATTTGGATGGAAGGAGGGAATACTATGCATGTAGGTTTCTGGAGGCAGAGTGGGGGAACCCCTTTGCGTCTGACCGGGTTGCGATTCCTGTAACTAGCTTACAGGCGGTAACAGTAATGAACACGGTAACTTAACTTTCGAAAGATGCTACTCAGCAAACACCATCTTCGACCAAGAAGTTTGAATATTTTGCTTGCCAAGCGGCAAAGATGAAATCGGTTAATCGCCCCCATGCTGATTTAACAAGCTTGACATCATCGGACAAGCGAAACCATCAAATAATTGAAATTATTTAAGGCCAGAGCCTGGGAAGGGAACGAGAAAAGGGTCCAGACCCGACGACCCTAGCATCGGAGCTATGGCTACCGCGCTATGCGCTCGGCAGCATCGCTTAAACCAACAAGTATTGGTATTATTCTGGAAAATATCAGCAATCAGACGCCTTTCTAGCCAGTGTTTCGAACACCTCCTACATGTTCACAGAGATTCTCCGGAATCCTGTTGTCCGTCTTTGGATTTTGAGAAGCCAATAGAACGGGGTGCAGCGTAAATGAGATCGACCAGAGACAATTCTTGCCATGCCAACTTTGTAATTGGTGTCCGTGGAAGCTTCTCCTATTTGTTAAATGGAAGAAGATATACCGCCCGCTGAGTAACCACGTCAGCTATTCAAAGCCGGGATATTGAGGCCTTGATTTTGTTGCCTTCCCTATCAAGGACCAGGTCGTCATTTTCATCCGCACTCCCGCCGCGTTTTAGTCCACTTCCTTGGAAAACGGTGCAACTTAAGAGGCATGATAAGGCGCACATATTGGCTGTACCACGAGTTCTGTATGCCCGGAAATGCGGAGTCAAGCATCGGAAAGCAACACCCGAGAAACGCACTGTGCTGGCTAGTAAGCACCTCAGTGTTCCACCGCTGAAATATCAAGGTCAAGCCTGTTTTCCTTGATTTCGCCACTGTTTCCTGTTTGTTCGTGGCCATTCGAGTCGCCATGCTGGACACTGAAATGAAACACCACACATAGCGAATGAACGAGCTGCCATGTGTCTGCCTGAAGGGATATTTGACGAAATAAAAAAAGTTAAAGTGCACTCCAGAGGCTCCTAATTCACCCAGGCGTAAAATAACTGACTCCTTGCTTGACGATTGGAGTGATGTTTGGCTTTCTGCCCGCCATAGACCAAAAGGGAATAATGGTTCCGATGAACTCATAGTTTGGTATGGCAGTCTCCTGGTTCATCTGGCTGGTTTATTAACTGTTGTTGAAACGTGTGGTTAACAATTGAAAACCCCGCCGCGTCTAATTAATATTACTAGCGTTTTTGATGTGGACAATATGAGCATCTGTCACAAGTCCTTTGTTTCCGAGAATTCGAGAACTCAGGTACGGAATGAGAGAAATCTAAAAGAGATCGTTGGCAAAAAGCTCTTTGAACGGGATTGCGCGAGGTTATTGCCCTCTTTTTTTTTTTTTTTTTTTTTTTTTTTTTTTTTTTTTTTTTGCCCTTCAGCCAGTTGGAGCAGGATCTAATTCCCCGAAGTCATAATGAACGAAATAAGTGGCTGTGCGGTTGTGCCCCATGATAGCGGCGCCTAACCTTGCAACGCCGATCACAGCCTAACCTCCCATGGCGCCAGGCGCCAGGCGCCAGAACACTCCCATGTTTTGCCATCCAAAGGCGCGGTGGAATATTCATAAGTTGCCGATTGCGTACTTCACTCGGTCACCGCTCTGGGTACTTTCTAAAGCGGACCGGCCCCCGAGAACCTTTAGGAAGTCGCAGCTTCACACGGGGGGAGACGAGCATGAAAATTTCCGGCTATCCAGTCATTCTAATTGGGCGACAGCTGTTCACTGTGAAACGGACATTGACCCAACCGACCAAAAACATTCCTTCCAATGGAAAGTTACTCTCAATATATCTATCAACCTCTTCCACCCATTACCCCAGTCGGCAAGACGCCTCCTTTTACCCGCTTGCTTCTCCTGAGTTCTGGCCAACAAAATGAGCCACTTTGCGGCAGTCTTATAATTCATGCTTTGGACCCCGATTTCGCACCCATACTGACTTACGAGGCTCTTTCTTATGTTTGGGGCACGGAGACAGAACAGACTTCCATTTACATTGATGGACGACCGATTGCCATCAAGCCAAACTTGGACGCTGCGCTCCGAAATCTCCGCCTACCAACACAGGCAAGGCGGCTTTGGGTTGACGCGCTATGCATTGACCAGTCCAATATAGAAGAGCGGTCGAGGCAAGTAAGATATATGCGATTTATGTACAAGCATGCTACACGGGTCGTGGTATGGCTCGGGTCCTGGACTCCAGGCGTGGAAATGGCTTTCGAGCTTGCAGAGCGACTGGCAGTTATACGAGAGCGTTGTGGTACGGATAAAGTTGCTCTGCAAAATGCTGTTGTCGAAGTAGCTATGGGAGCACCGGAGGCGTTCCATCACCTCGACCAATTGTTTGACCAACCTTATTTCATCCGAAATTGGTGCATACAGGAGGTTGTTGCAAGCAAATGGGCTATAGCTATGTGTGAAGGGCTGGAGACGAACTTCTTTGACATCATTGCGACAGCCCCGTATATGTCTTTGAAGAGGGACCAGATGCTTGGGATGCCATCTGAATTCTGGAATATGATATTTATGCTCCGACAACCTTCAAGCGGATTTCGCGGTGGAGCTGTCGAGGGATCATTGGGTTCTCTAACGTTGCTGCTAGCGACGACTCGAGATTTTAAGGTTACAGATCCACGTGATAAGGTGTTTTCAATATTGGGGATATCCGATGAAGGCTTGGAGCCAGCGACAGCCTTTACGCAAACCATGTCGTCCTCGGACCACAACCCAGCGCTCATGCTATACCGCCGATTTGCAATCGGCGTATCAAAGCGCATTAATAGCCTCGGCCCAGATGTCGATGTCCTAAGACCCAAGGCGTTGCGGCCTGATTACAGTAAGAATTTGCTTGAGGTGTACAGAGATCTCACCAGATTTTTAATCAGGAAGAGCCCTCGGGTTCTCAATGTATTGGCGCATGTGCAGCACACCGAGGACCCTGCCCAAAGCGACTTCCCCTCCTGGGTTCCGAAATGGTATCAACCTCGTCAGTGCAGTGTTTTCGACGTAGGTTGCTTTCTAGCTGGCTTCTGCGACGGCCATTTTCGTTACTTCGCAGAAGCTGAGGATATGCCTCTCTCAAAGGAACCTCTTCGGCCGAACTCGCTCCAATTACGCGGATTCCACGTGGATAGGGTTAAATCTGTCAGCGAGGTGTTGGAATACAGTCTCACTGGCCCATTTCCCTTTCAAGACTTGTGGGGCCAAGTGTTCAGCTTCCCGATAGACCAAGCAGAGATGCCTTTGTACTATGACAAAACCCCTCTGGTAATGGCATTCTGTGCTACATTACTTGCGGCTCCACTGGGAGCATCAATGGGGAACCTTGAGCTGTTGACTGGTGACACGAAAGGTCTGACAAAAGAAAGGTTCATGCGGCAGGGAGAGGCAGATGCTGCTGTGTACCTTCTGTCCAAGATCTTCACATCTGATAAAGTTTCAATAAAATACGGCCCTCAGGGTCAGAATCTGCTTGATCACCTCTGCAGCCTTGCCACAATTGATGTAGGTGAAAGTGGAGCTGATGCTGAACGCTTTGAACGTGGTGCCAGGTCTATATGCTTCCATCGCCGCTTCTATGTAACAGAGAGGGGCTATCTAGGTATTGGTCCTCAGGTGATGCGTCCTGGAGACGAAGTCTGTGTGCTTTTTGGAGGCCGGGTTCCATTTATTTTGCGCCGAATTCCTGACCACCATCTCTTAATTGGAGACACATACATCCACGAGCATGCTGTCATGTGGGGGAAGGTTACTGAGGGCATCAAGCGTCGCGGAAGGACAGATATCCCCGTATTCCTATATGAAATGAAATGAGATGAGAAAATATTATGCCTGTGTTTGACGTGCCATATCGGACGGTGCCAGTATTTCCCCTTGTGCAAATAGGCTCTATGTCCTTACTCCTTACTCCCAATAATGGGATGATTCGTTGGTTATTGTAGATATTTAGTGTTAAGGGCAACGTATATCTAGTTGAGTCGCCCTCTATAGGGCCCCAAGAAAGAAGTATGTAGCCCCTTAGCAAGTAATGCTGTCATACCCCTGGGAAAAATGAGAGTATGTTTGCTTCATAACTAGGTAGTTCTCCAATAAACGGATGGCTTTAATAGGGGGCGAGCAAACTTGGCCCCGAACTCGCCCTTTGCCGGTGAACCTCGGCATCTCCAAGCTTGCAAAAACTCGGTCCGAGTCCCCAATCACTCGGAAGCTACGGGGACGAGAGACGTATTTCAACAGAGAAATTTAGGCTGGAGTGTCGGTTTCTTTGTACAACCCAATATCAAAAGTGCTAGAGATACTAATTTCTTTGCCTTTTCCCAGTTGAGCTTTATTCCCTAGTACTCCTCTCTCCCTATCAAGCTTCCCTAGCAAGGCCGATATCACAATGCGCGCAATCCAAGTAAGCGAGTACGTTAAGGTGTGTACGAACAGCTTCTATACACAGCAAACTACGACCCTTGTACTCCGTATATATATATATTCTGGTACATATGCTGAAACAATAAACACTAGGGGCCCCTCGACCTGACCGTCACAACCCTCCCAACCCCCTCCCCCTGCCCAGGCAAGTACCTCATAAAAATTCACTCAGCCGGCACGAATTTCTTCGACCTCCTTCAAATCCAAGGCAAATACCAACACCAGCCACCTCTGCCATGGATATCCGGCATGGAATTCGGCGGGACAATTCTGAGCACCCCGACCGCCGCCCGCTCACCAAAGTTCAAAGTAGGCGATCGCGTCTTCGGAGCCACACAGGGCGCGTATGCTACACACATTCTTGCCCTCGAAGGCGCGCTGCGACCGGTTCCCGAAGGCTGGAGCTTTGAGGACGCAGCAGGCCTCTTCGTCACCGCGCCGACCTCCTATGGTGGCCTGGTAACGCGTGCGAACGTGCAGCCGGGCGATTGGGTACTTGTGCACGCCGCAGCGGGCGGGGTGGGGCTAGCTGCTGTGCAGATCGCAAAGGCTAAGGGGGCTACTGTCATTGCGACGGCCGGATCGGAGAGGAAGAGGCAGATTGCCAAGTCGTTTGGGGCAGATTATTCGATTGACTATAAGGATCCCAAGTGGACGGATGCGGTGAAGAAGCTGTGCGCGGAAAAACGGACGGGGAATGGCAAAGCGGGCGTCGATATTGTGTATGACCCCGTGGGGATGATTGATCAGAGTCTCAAGTGCGTAGCGTGGAATGCGCGGCTGTTGGTGATTGGGTTTGCGGCGGGGACAATTGAGAAGGTTGCGCTGAACCGGGTGCTGTTGAAGAATGTTAGTATTGTGGGCTTGCATTGGGGTCAGTATGCGAATTTCGAGAAGGAGACTGTGGGAGTGGTGTGGGATGGCATTTTTGAGTTGATTAGGCAGGGCAAGTTCAGGGGAACAAGCTTTACGGATCAAAGCTTTGTTGGTTTGGAGAGTGTTCCAAAGGCGTTGCAGGCGCTTGGGGGACGGGAGACCTGGGGGAAAGTCGTTGTTAAGATACCCGACGAGGATGAAGGAGTTTCAAGCAAGTTGTGATTTTGTAAAGATTTTTGACGGGATATTAATAGGTTGGGATGACTTTTTTGCATGACTACATTGGTTATACATACGAATAGAATTGTTAGGTTACTGTTCAATAGAGGTGGGTATTCAGAGCTCAAGGCAGCGAGTGTAATATATTTTATCGTCCGGAATTGTAAATAGTGTCAATACCACCAAAGATAGACAATAATACTGAATTAACAACCGGATAGCTATGCACGAAATGTAGAGACGCAAGGAGTCATGCTCATCTGTGAAAACGCCATTCTACCCCAAATTGGGGAGAAGACTCAGAAAACATGAACTATGAAGGTCCTTTGAAAGGTAATTTATTCTCGCAAAGCAAGCAAAAACGAAACATATAAAGAAAACAATACCACCCTGTACCTTTTCAACCCGTGAGATCCAAGGAAACAAGAGTGAATATCCTTTCTGAACATGTGTATGATGCTTGGTGTCCGAAAATCCAGCTCCAGCCAACATGCACACAAGACGTGTAAGATATGCCGACTGTCCTTCGTGGTTTGAAGGGTTCGTGAACTAAAAAGGAAATAGGAGGAACAGCTGGATCTTGGGCAGAGCTATTGTGCTGACGACCGCACGGCGCCGCGGGCGTGCGCCTGGGAGTAGAAAAAAAGACAAGGCACATCCTCCCTGGCACTCTCGCTTCCACGGCTCGTGTTGAATCCAAAAAGATATCCTTCCAAGAAAATACGCCCAGGAACGATTTTATTGTTGTTTCTCGTATCCAGTGACAGGCAAGGCAGCCTTGAGACCCGCACCGAAATGCATGGCGGTTGACGCTGATTCGAGTTCATAGCTCCATTTGCCTTAAGTTGTCTTTGACGGCTTGGGTAGATCGCAGAGCCTCACTGTATCCCACGATTCCCATACTCCGTCAATATCAACTAGGGTAACGCCCATGGCAATCTTTGTCCCACGTTATACTATGGGCAGTACAGGTTTGGTTTGCGGGTATGCAACTGGGGGAGGAAATGATTAGCGTTTTTGCGGGGGAAGGTACGGTTAGCCTATCTTCTAGAAACATTACTGAATTCTGCAGCATGAGGAAGAGGTTCGATTTGACACACTGGCGGTGGTATGTAGTGCAGTGCAGCGCAGTGCAGTGTTTTGTGGGGATGGAAAAAAGAGAGAGAATTTGTGTGCGAGACGGTTGAAATTTTGGCTTTGGGCGGCTCTGCTGTGTTTATTGTGTTTGCTGTGTTTGCTATGTTTGCTTGAGCGCGTTCGAATTATAATTTATCTCCACTTCTTGTCCCAACTAAAATAGTTACTTACATAGCCAACTATCGCAAGAGGAATTGAAGAGATGCAGACGATCAAAGAACGAATGGAATGAATTACCGGCCCCTCTGATTGGCGGAGGGCTCTGCGTCTCGCAGAAGCTGTTTACTTTTTTATATATTCGACCAGGCTCGCAATGACAACAATGCGTGAGACAGACGCGAGCAAATAATACTTCAGTTTGAGCCTTAATTTCTTACATGTGTGGCTGTGCGCTATGAGACGCCGTTGGGTCGTGACCAACATTATTCAAAGCATGGGAACTTACAGATTAGACGTACGTTGATGTCATTGTTCGTATGGTGAAGAAGTGAGAGAGGGTCCTACCTAGGTATGACTGTCCCGTGAGAAACAGAATAATGGAGCGGAAGTGGAGGGCAAACCTGTCAATTCACCATATTTACTGTCTGATGCAATAATAATATTAGGTAATTATGCCCGTATAATAATATTTAATACGGAGTATGCTGGGCCAAGACGCGACTGATCCCCTTGAGGCAGTGCTGAAAGAAGTTGTTGAACTTGGGCTATTTATTTAACGAGCGTACGTACGTACACTGAATAGGCGCCCTTCCTAGCACGGACTTGCACGGACTTGTTCTCCGGGTATTATCGTCGCCACTTCCTCAGGGTTAAGTCGAATGCGCCCGATCATAGAATAATATATAGACCTATTCAAGCCTGCTCTCTAACAACAGATAACTTGGGGCATATCTTAAAAGGATTACATAGTTATTTTGTTGTATCCGCTGCGATCATCCTCGCCTGTCGAAACCATGAAATTTTCATACACTCTTGCGCTTTGCGCTCTTCTTTCGCTCTCCTCCACAGTTGCGCCGCGCAATATCATATCAACATTAGACGTCAATGTTTCAAGCATGGATGCTCCAGAAGGTTTTGGCCCGTCCCTCGTCACTGGCAACCTCCTACAAAAACGTAGAGGAGGAGGCGGTGGAAGGGGCGGCGGTGGTGGAGCACGCGGAGGCGGAAGGTCTGGCGGAGGAAGCGGAGGCCGCAGTGGTGGGGGAGGACCCAGAGGTGGTGCAGGGGCCGGAGGCAGGGGAGGTTCAAGCTCACCTGGTGCTAGAGCTACAAGGTGTGCACATATCCGCGTCAATATTCTTACCAGTTGTTGTGAATACGGATATTTTGCTGACTCCCCACTCTTCCCTTTTGAACAGTAACCTAGGCGGTTCTTCACGAACTGGCTCGGGAACCCCCCGCACATTTGGCGGAGGCAGCTACTATGCCGGTGGTGCCTCAGTCCCATACACAGCCGGTAAAACTTCGCGGAGAGGACTGCTCCCATTCGCCTTCCTCCCTCTCGCCGCCCTCGCCTTCTTCCCCGGCTTGTGGCTCTGGGGCGCCCACGCCTACCACATCGGACACTATAACTATCGCAACACCTCCGACCCCAACGCCAACGCAACCCAGATCCCCATTGAATGTCTCTGTCAGCGTTATAGCGTCTGCGGCTGCGAGGAGAACGATAACGCGACCTATATCAATGAGCTGCTCAAGCAGAAGGATGAGCATGGCATGCCGACGAATACAACGACGGTTAGAGTAGTGCCCAAGGATGATGGGCCGACGACTATCTATGTCAATGGCAGCTTGGCCAATGGGACCACAAATCCAGATCCGTCCATCCCGGAAAACAGCGGGGTACCCATTGTTTCTCCTACGCTATCGAAACTGGGTGGCTATTGGCTTATAACTTCGTTGGTTGTTGCGGCTGTGACGTTGATATGATATGATATGATATGCGACGAACGTTTATTCACTTTTTCACCCCCAATCCCCCACTTTTTGCTTCTTGCTATCCGCATTTGAGCCTGATAAATTGCGGCTTGGGATGATACCTATTTGCTTTTTCTTTTTATGTCTATTGTTACAGACTTGCGTTCAACCTGGTTGGGTTACTGTCATGTACGATATTCTGGTCCGTGTGTTCGCCTTGCCCTGCCGTGATGTCTGCGGGTTGGCTTTATTTCTTTCTCTCTCTGCTTGCCCGTCTCTTGTATATAGTGGTTCTATTTCTATTACGATTCATCCTGTACCGTTTAACGCCCCGGCAATATGTTTGTCTGAATTGTGATAGCAGGTCCAAGCCGACCGACCCATTGATAGACCATCGACAGTTCAACCGTACCTTGGGGACTGCATGTGGTATTCTTCACTTGGGGAAACCCATGTATTGCTAGACAGGGGGAATTGGAAAATGAGGAAAGGTAGGACGACATGGATAATGGCGGCGTAAAACATTTTCCATTATATGATAAAATAATAATGCTTAAGGATGAATGAGTGGAACTTCATTTCCCTAAATGAAATAATACAATAATACAGAGAGAGGAAGTCAATACTTAATACAACTATATACGTACATCACCCAAAAGGTTCTATTCCGCCCCTTCCTCCTTGTAGGTAGCTTCATACCTGTGCGAAGAGAAAATAAGTAGTTAGCAAATCCATATAATAGTATGAGACAAGTAGGAACTGGAAATACATACCTCTTCCCTCTAAACCCCCACAACCCCCAATTCCCACACGAAACATCATGCGGATCCACATCATTCAAATCCCACCGAAGACTCCGGAACTTATTCTCTCCGGGCTCCAACAGCAAATCAACCTCCCCACCACACTTCTCCATCACCCACTCCTTATCCCGCTGCATATCCCACTCCGAATATCCCGTGCACAGAATCGGCACCTTCGTCTGCAGCAGATGCGGAAGCGTCTCCTCCCACTCGTGCGAACTGGCCGGGTGTCCCAAACCAGGGTGGAAGAGCATGAAACAGTCAAAGTAAGGGTCGTACGGCTGAAACATGTTCGCCTGGTGCATCGTGTGGAAGTAATCGACGTACGTGGTGATCTTCATCAGCGCGTGTAGACGGTCTTCGACGATGCCGCCGAAGGGGTTTGCGGGGGTGCGTTCGGGAAGCGGGAACTCGTCGTCCCGGTTCGCCATGCTCTCCGGGCCGATGAAGATGAGGTTTATGAGCGCGCGCGGGAAGAGGTAGGAAAGTTGGAGCCAGACGTCGCGGGGTAGCGAGGATTCGGCGCGCGCGCCTAGAATGAAGACGCGGACTGGGGGCGCTTTTAGGCGGAGGCCGGACATTTTCGCTCCCTCGCCGGTTCTTGGCGGATGGAGGGTGTAGCGGAGGGCTAGGGATCAGATGTATTAGCATTATTATCAAGGACGTTCGTGTTCAATGTAATCTTTGGCGCAGCACTCACCGCTCAAACTCTTTAATCCTTCCGGGGTCAATCGACCACCTTTCCGAATATTATACGGGCTAAGCTCATGTAGCACACTCGCAATCGTAATGGGGTACGTGAGCAGCCTTGTCACCTGCCTCATGTGTCTATCATTATTAATAGCATCAAACTGCCTGGTATACAAAAATGTATCCCAATTCGTCATATTCACTATCGACTCATCCTCCTGCAGGCCTGGGTAGTTAAACTCCGAGAAGAACCGGCGAGACCGCAGGTCATGGTCATCCTCATTGATTTGCCGGATTGTGTCGCACACTTCCAGATGTGCCTCAAAGTCATCCATCCAATGCCCCTCGGAGCAATATATCGGTACGCCACAGTCCGGGCACTCGAAATTAGAGTGCGCTGGCGGCTGGCTCTCGCTGCTGGCTTCGGGGGATTTCCTGGCCTCGGAGTCATGAGGGGATGTGGGGACGCGTGTCTGTCGATGACTGGGATGCGGGCAGAAAGCATTCTGCTTTATGAAGGCTGCCCGCTGTCGGATTTCGGGAGAGGGGGAATTGGTGAAAGAATGGAAGAGGTTGTCCGGCTTTAGCAGGGGCTTCACATTGTATGCTGCCGAAGAGCCTGCTGCAGCCACTTGGCTAGCAGATGACGATGCGGATCTTGCGATGGCAGCTCCAGTGCTAATCTTGCTGGCTCGTGAGCCTGAGCCTGCTTGAGGGGTGTGAAAACCGGCAGTCTGTGTGCTAAGCTGCTGATATCGCTGTCCGAGGCGGGGAAGGGTCCGCGCCCGGATTGAGGAAAGATGTGGCCGAATTCCCAGTCGGAGTGCTTGCGCACATTTCTGACAGGTGAACTCCATTGCCAGTGGGAATTACGGCCGCTAGATGAGTGGGTGGGTTCTGGCTGCGTGCTGGCTGCTGGTGAAGTGTCGTCGAAAAGTTCGGGGACAAAATATTAAAGTTAGTTTACATCACGTGGATCGAATATGCCCACTGTCACTGTTCCCTGAAGAGTAACTACACATTCATCTTTCTGTATAATTTAATACAAGCATCAAACGCTCGCTTACGCTCGCTTTGCTGCTTGCGCAGTCCCCTCTACCATCACCACCGCCTCTACCGCCCCGCAGCCCCTACCACTTCCACCCCCTACCTCTTACCCCCCCTTACCACCCCTTCCACCCCCTCCACCCCTACCCTACCCCCTCTACCACCACCACCGCCCCTATCACCCCGCAGCCCCCCCTACCACTTCCACCCTCTACTCTTAGAACTTTAGAAGAATGAGAATATTTTTTTTGATATTTGTACTTTTTTTTTATTAACTCCCTACCCCTCTTT